CCGTAGTTTTCTCTTTTCTCTTCCTCTTACTTCACAGGGCATCTTTTTAAAGAGACATCATAGTGGACACTTTTTTTGTTTTTTGTTTTTTTTTTTTTGAAAATCTGGTCGGTCGGTCCTCAGCCAGGAAGTGATAAGAGCATCTCCCTGTGTGAGGATCCTGCCTTAGATTACTCTGTTCCATTGGTGGGGAGCTGCACCTGCTGGAAAACGGGTCCAGTGTCCCTTACAAATAGTTGATAACAAAGGAAAGGAAAGGAGAGTAGAGAATATCACAGCAAGAGGGCTTCCGGGTCATGAGGGAGGACATGGTCCTCCTTCTCATCCCACAAATGTCTAGAGAAGACTAATTGCCTATTATCTGAGAATTTGATCCACTAAAACTTGGATGCCGAGGTACTGAGCATGGAACTCTGAGCTTCCGAGTATGAAGGAGATAGAGCTTTCACCCTTCTCCATTCGGACAAAATTAATGTCCTAACTGCGTTCTTGAATGTGTTGCGCAAGCGAGAGACTGACCAGAAAGAATTATTAAATCTCTTATCCCTACGAGCTAACCACAGGACCCAGAATCCTATGGTCCTAAACTTATTAGCTATTTCAGCTCTAGGAGAGGAAAAATGATCTCCAAAAAGTACCAGTGACTTAGTCCAGTAGGACAGGTCCCTGTAGGCAGCAAACCATAGTCTGCTAACCCAGTCCTAGAATCCTCTGGCCACCACGCATTCCCACCATAAGTGGGAAGAGTCTTCCAGGGAGAGGTGGGTACAGACATCACATGTTGATATGATCTGCATACCCTTTTCTGCACACCAGGCTGCTGTAGGAACAGAATTGTGCAGGTGTAGCCATTGAAGGCCTGCCAATTTGACTTCCAGCGTTTCCAAGATCATCTTGATGAAGAAGAGCACCCAACGAATGTCTGGAGTGTTCATGCCGAGTGCCCTGGAGTGTCTGTTCCATGAGTCCCATATTCTGAACTGGAGGACCGAGGCCTTCGACTGGTACTTATATCCCGTCTGAGATGTGTAATCTGTCAGGAGCACTGAAGCTACTACTGAGGATTCCGCCGTGATGTTCCAGCCAATCCGCATTTCGTCGACCTTCCAGGTGTTGAAGGGGGAGCCTCCTCTCGTTAGAAGGAAGAGGGGAGCGTCGCTCTTGCCTGCCCTTGATTTGATTTT